AGGTGACTCCATCCAATGTTACCACGTGATGCAAAGAAGCGGTTGGCCTGCAGTATTACGCACTCACCTATTCGAGATCGTTGAAGCTGATGCAAGGCAATGACGCTTTCTGAGTGGTGCAAAATCGCTTCTCATGCATTTCAACCCGATCGGTTATGCATTTTTTGATTGGTTAACAAAAGTTAATTGCCTTATGCTGGTTAGCTGCCGTCGTTGGCCAATCCTTACACAAAACAACCTCGCTTCGAAATACGTCATGCTACCTACCCCTGCATCCCTGCTGTTTTCTTGCCACGGGCCAGACATTTGAAAGCATTTGTGATGCTGGAGTGACTCCAAATTGCTATCAACGTACTATGTACAAATACTAGTGAATATTATGCGTGAAATTATGCACTATTTTGTTATGAATAAAGGAACCCACCTAGGTGCTTGTATTAAGCACGAAATTGCTGTTTACTCTGCGACGCTAGAACCTCTTACGTCAAAGCTCAGATTTCTAAATATGTGCACCTTCATACAGTTCGAGTATTTTGCGTCTTCTTGGATAGAACCTCATTAATTTGCTAATATCTGTTGTTGTCTAATATCGAAAAGTAAAATTAGGGATACTGCACAAATTCAGATGCAGAAGTGTCAGGAACAGTCTTTGGGCAATCTACATAATATACGATTTTTATCGTCCTGATGTTTTTAGTTTTTAAACTCTTTTTTGAAGGTGTGTTAATGTGCAGAGAAGAAGCAAAATCGAAATATTTACAGTCGTATTCTCAATAGATAAATTACAGAAAATTTATATACTATTATTTCTTGTGCCGTGAAGCATCTTCCCATGAATATTTACTTTTCTTTGCCATTTTGGCACAAAATTTCGACAGGTGTTTTCTTTCTTCGTATATGATTGACAGTAGCTATGCCGCAACCTTTATGATTTCAGCATTTGCACACCATGAACACACTAAAAAAGCACACTTGTGTGGGGAAGGTTACAAGTTATTCACAACTCGCCTTCAGCTGTCATTAAGTATTACTGAATTTTATTTAAAGTAGTTTTAATGAGTTGTCTGAAATTTAATAAAGTTTACCTTTTTTGAATGTGCAACCAGACGCTGACCGATCCTGGTTAAATAGTAAATAGTGAGTTAATTTGAAGACGAGTCAGTGACTGTAATGTTTACATTGGTACCTGACTTAATATCGTGGGTAAAGTAAAATTTTGGGCAACAAGATTTTTTAAAAGTGAAAGTTAGAATATCTTACAATTTGTTCTTTAATCCGCATAAAACTAGGGGTTAAGGTTATGTTAATTTTTGGCAAACTAATCATACTATTGATTACTTTACCGTTGTGGTATAATTTTTGTACAGTTTCCAGGCATCTCGTCGTAGCTGCGGTAGATAATTTGCGAAGCGCAAACAATGTAGACTTGGGCCAGCAACGTATATCCGCAAATCAGCACACGGTACCGCTGATGAACAATTAATTTGATTGGCAGAGAAAACGGCGTTTCTCGAGACAAGAAACGCTTCATTACTGATATAATTCCTTTAATCATTTTTTTCTTGAGTTTACGTTAAAGTAAGCAGCAATGAACGATGGCGAAGCAATGATGTTTCAGAAGATTCATATTTATGGGGAGTTTGTTCAGTAATTTGTTGGATGTTGAATGGCGTTTTCCTGCCAGCGAGTGACTGTGCCATGCAGATATCTTCGGTAACTCGATTCTGCGACAACAATGGATGTCAGACTCTCCGGAATCAGGGCCAAGGTTTTCACAACAACACAACTCAATTCCACTAGCCATTTCGTTGTAGACATTTTAGCCACCTTATGAGAGTTATGTGTGAAGAAATATGTTTATTTTAAAATGGGTTTTTGGCGCACATGTGTCTATTTTCCGCTAACAAGACGTAAAATGTGGATAAATTTAAAATTCCCTTAACATTGACGCGCATGATGGCTTTCTTATTCAAATCAAGCATTTAAGTATAACGCACAGGTTTTGGTATGCGACAAATATCTGGCGTCTTTTTCAGATTACTTTAATAATTACTGATTGGCTTCGGGTTTCATAGACGAACAATGAGTTCAAATCGTTAAGGTTATGAGCTCATCCCGGAGATAAGCGCGCCAAAACTAATAGAAGACTCAATTTATTTCGCTACTGTGAATACCGTAAGAATGGAAGTTAAATTGCGTATAGCCAGCTCACACTTAGCTGTCAAGAAAAACCTAAAGGCCATTAAAGCCAATGTTAAGTTTCAACGTTTTTAATTGACAGTACCCCCCAATTTACGTGGCAAAACTTTCAGCTATTCGATGTCATCGGTCTAAACTAACGAAGATTCTCATAAGCTGCACTACAATTGCTTAAACTGGAGCAAAGACCAACTGAGAACTAGCCAGGTAATCAAATTGCGGAGCAAAAGTGCAGTTGGCAGGTATTCTTTCGCATTAAAAATACACACAGGGTGCACTTTGTCAGAATAGCTTTCATAATGTATAGGCAATTTGGAGTCTTGTCAACCAAAAGCGAGCTATGAAATCGTAAGCATTGGCAAAATGTTTAACTTTGGGCCAACTTGGTCCTTGTTTAGCAGAATATCAGATCGAACGTACACTGGTCCGATTCCTTAGAAACTAACGAAAGAAAATAATGAGCATTGTTGCGTGAACCTTTACGTGACTGAGTCAAAAGGTCTGAAACTACGATCCTGAAAGCGTTAACATGAAGCAGATTCCCTCAACGGCCAGAACGAAAACTGAACTTGCAAGCAATCACAACAGCATGGCAGCCACACCAACTTCACTACTGTAACAAGTTCACCAGATGCAAACGCTGGAAATATTTGCCAACTCCGAGGTGCACCCCACTTTAAATACTACAGACCTATTCGCCACCCTGATTGTTTTTGTAAAAAAATTACTCTTCGCGTCTTCTAAGAGCCACCATTTGAGTTATTCCTACACCTGCTACAGCTAGCAAGTTGACCAAAATCAACCACCAGTGAATGGATACTTAAAAGCAAGAATATAAACTATCACGCACCCCAGTGTCATTAAACCAACGTGCTAACTAGTCCCTACCACTACGTAACGACTGCAGGGCGCTGCTGGCGAGCGTATTCTCAGGAAATATCAGTTGGACGTGTTTCTACGTGACCCACTGATATACGACTTGGAACGGGCCCTAGGGATCAAAAGGCAACTCACACCCTTACATGTGGCAGACTAAATTCGAGTGACTTCAGTCATGCTGAAGGAAGCACGACAGCATCAAACGAAGACATCTTAGATCAACTCTGTTAGCCACATCTTTTGCAAATTAGCCTCAATCGTAATACATGCGGACTAAAGCAAAGACAAACGGCGAACAACTAACCTAAAAATTGTCTAGGATTTATGGATCAACACGAAATTATTGCAATTCTCAAAGCCCGGTTGAAAAATCTTGGGAAAGTGGATTCACCCGGTAAAATTTATTTCATATTAAGCCTTTGGAGTCTCCACGGTTGCTGAAGTCTTTTGAGGAGTTGGGGAGGTTGTGGCCTTTGGAGCTCGCGGAACCCTTTTGTTCTTTTTCTTAGCGAAACGCATATTTCTCAAGAACTTCGGATCAACCTACCGAGGTGGATGACATATGCTACCAACTTACCCCCTTCAGAGAAGGAAAACGTTGCTTGCGTGGTCTGTGAATTCCATTTCGGTGATTCTTCCGATCTACATAATGCACTAACCTACACGTATAACTTACTCTGATGATGTGTACTGTGGTTCTTACTCTTGGCCATCCTTCAGAACGTGCAAAAGAAACGTACGCAGCGCGCAAACTAGAGTATACAAACAAACACAAACCAGTCATTTTTTAAAAAATTAAGTAGCATGATTAAACTGCAATTTCTTATAATGACAACAAAAAAATCAATTCTTTGTTTACGACAATGCTCATCCGAAGTGTTCCTGAACAGAGACTAAGATAACAACTGGACCATCTCTGTTCACTCTCGGAATATCAGAGATTTATAATCCCTGACAGGTCAGATGAATTAAAAGAAAAAAGCATGCCAGTATTACTTGTATAAAACATAGCTAATTAAAAAGCATATAAAAAAACTGACCTAACCTTAAATTTAGCAATGGTCAACTAATTATTTTGACAAAATTTTAGAAGCAATAGGCTTTTAATGCGTACTTTGAATACAACTACGGTGTGTTCATTAATAATTACTCCAAATTTTCATCGCATTAATCCTGCTTATTTCAGTACTGGGGGAATGGTAAGATTGCAGGATTCTCGAAAATAAAACGGTCGCTGTTGCAAAGCTTCGTTTCCCGTTTGGCGAGTTTAATTTACAATGCTAGAATTATGGCAGTTTTACAATGATAGAATTTTATAAGAATTAATTTTTAGTATCACAAGTTCCATGGTATTGGTAACACCACGAATTCCAAATTATTGCACCTTAGAAGTACTTATTTTAAGTGGTAGGACACAAGATCTCTGTTCGTTTAAAGGTAAGATATATTGCAACACAAAAGAAGGGGAATGTCTTTAAACGTGAGTTTGTACAAAGTTTACCTAAAAATAGTATAAAAATAAATTTACCTTAAAAATAAACTCATATGAATGCTCATATCTTTCGAACACACATAGGACAAAATTGTTGACTCGCAAATGTCATGCTGCATTCAAATGGAAAATGAACACGCTCATTTGAGACCTTTCCTAAACTGTATACGAAAATGTAAATATGCATTCATATTTTCATAAATCTGAGAGGTGATTCTGGTGAGAGGTTAAAAATCAGCTTGCGAACCAGAAAAATCATAGTGACATAAACGATAAACCCAATACATTTTTAATTTATTACAAATTTTACAAGCCTCGAGAAATAACAATTCAGGTACATGTACAAACAACTATGGCAGTAAATCCCTGAATCGCAAACATATTTTCAATCAAGTTATAAATTAATTCATAATTAAACTGTAACAGCACGTCTGTCTTTTTTTTCGCCTCGAAGAAAATCATCAAATTTCGAAGGTTATAATGGATATGTGTTCATACGTCATAGTCATAGCATTAGTTTAGAGCACCTCTAATTAAAAATCTTTTTATCAACTCATCTACTTTACACTATCTGATAATTCACTACTATCTCTTAACTAAGGAAAAAAATCATTTTTCTTTATTAAAATTTTACATTTTTCACGAATTGTCTTGATACCAGGTGTCAATTTAACCTAAGACCTACGATTAGCTTGCCTTTAAATTTGGCCTACTTTGGACCCTCTGCTTTGACAAAAGGACCTGTAATTTAAGACAGGAAAAATTCCAGGAACTAAAGGTATATCAGGGTGACCATTAAACGTACAATTAAATGTGGGATGCTAGACGCTAAACCTTAGTCAATTTGAATTGTACACAGTCATCCATTTTTTAAACCACTTAGTGATTTTAAAAAACAATGTGACAACATGGGTTATTTAAAAAGCTTTCAAGTTTTTATGTCAATTTTAAAATCAACTAAGAGCTGCAGCTCAATACCCGATTCTTAAACCCATGCACTTTTTAACTCTAAATAAAACTCTTAAACTAATTACAAATAAGCAGACTTGATTACAACAATGTATAATAGTTCAAAGATTCGTGTCAAATTAGTTGGTTCTGTTTTTCTGTATTTCAAATACCGGTGGTTTCAATTTCCATGATTAGCTTGGCGGATAAAATTCGTAAAAGACAACAAGGCCAGGTATCTAATGAACCTGATTCTGCTTCCTCTGCTTCCATAAGGAATGCCTCCATTCGTGACAAACTCCTAACGCAGGAGTTGCCAGAATTAAAAGCCAATCTAACCCAACAATGTGAGCTTCGATATCCGGACCCTAATAAACTTCACGAATTTGAACTCATTGTCTCACCGAAAGACGGATTCTGGGCTAAGGGTCGTTTTCACTTCAGTGTCACAGTGCCTGAAGGTTACAATCATGTTCCTCCCATTGTGAAATGCACTACAAAAATATGGCATCCTAATATTGACGAGGAGGGGAGAGTCTGCCTTAGTCTTCTTAGACCTAGCTCATTGGACTCATCTGGCTGGGCCCCTACGAGGAAGTTATATGAGATGATATGGGGAATTGAGTCCTTGTTTTCTGATCTTTGTGATTTTAGCGATGCACTAAATACAAACGCGGCAGAACAGTACAGCCGTGACCCCGAAGCTTTCAGGCAGAAGGCTAGGTGGTACGTCAATGAATTCGCCAGGCAATAAGGCCACTGTGCTTTCCTAATACCCAGGCATTGTGTTACGGACGTCGTATTCTACTTACCTCTGTGCTGATGTTGATAGTTACAGAACAAAACCGAATAATACAATCGTATTATTTTACCTCGTCATGTATTTGTACAAATTGTCTAATAAAGATTTAAGTACAAAATTCGTTTACAGTTTCTTTTTCGAATTGTAAGCGTGAAAGGTTACCCAAATCATCTTATTGTAGAGATGTTGCGGACCTCCTCAGTGTTTTTGCAATCGGTGCGTGCCCTCGCCACTGGCGTTAAGCCTGGATCACCAGGCACGTCGATATTTTTCCATCTTATTTGAAATTCTCATAGGTAGCACAGTAGCCCCACGGGATTCGGCAGCAAAAATTGGTAAACCGCTGGAGAAGTCTGTAGCTTCGTCCGAAGTAAAATCTTCGATACAACCACCAGGTTCTAAACCCTCTCTGGTTACGAATTCCTTTCATGCCTCTGCTGCTGAAACTGAGTCCAGTTCATATAAAGTCGGAGAATACTATGCATTCTCACTCTATTCATTCTTCGACCTTGGATCGAAAAAACGGGCCCTGCGCAATCCCCAGCCTGCTAATCATCCCTAACAGTCATTGCATATAATGTAGCTTAGAAATTCCTAAATAAGAATCTACTCCAAAATCTCTGCCTCCTCAAAGTACTTTGTAGTTGCCTGTGGTAAGATTTTGTGTCCTTTGAGCAGAATGAATCTTGAGCTTCTGGAAAGCCGAATATCTCTTTTGGAAGGTCTGGTTCTCGGGGTTTCGAGGGTGCCTCCTAAAAAATCACCAGATCATGTAAGCTGTTCAAGAGTTGTGAAGTCGAACCCATAGCAATTTATTGTCCACAACCTCGTTTATCTTGTCATTTGTCTTTCAATTCTTCTATGAATTTCTTTATCGCTTGATTCTTTCATCTAAATCTAGGAAATGCAGTTATCAAGTTCGGGGGAGTCTCGTACTTGCAAATGTCACTGTACTGTTTTATTGTTATTCAGTTTTGCGCAACTGATCGTACTGTAAATCCGAAAGTTCATACCAACCTCCTTGAATTGTTGCAGCATTTGTAGCATTGTTATTAGAGCTGAGAATAGACAATAACTGCCTACGAGGTAGCCCATTCAGAGGCTGTATTTGTGTAATTTGCGTTGAAATTAATTCGGTTAAGTGACGTATTCCATGGGCTTCAATATCTTGAAGAACCGACAACTGAGCTCACACTAGAGGTTACGTGGTTGGGTCCTTGGCGCTATTAACGAGTGAATCCCAACCCTCAAAGCAAGCACTTCGTTTTCCAAAAACAAATGGGCTACTTCCTCAAGCAATTAATCCCTTATAGGAAGAATGGCTCTCTTAACGTTTCAGGTCGTAGATTGTGTGATTTCGGTTTTTTTCGATATACAGAATATTTGTTAATCATCTGACCTCAATCAGGTTTTGGCTTGATTCATGTTTTCTAGTCTATTTCAGACTTAATCTCTGAGGTTCAGAAGCAAGTTTCGGTGGCAGAGAGACGACCCAAGATCAAGGAAACTCTTGAAGGAGGTATGTCGCGCTTCTAAAGCAAATGTGTATTTATGTGCATAATTTGGTAACGCGAGAAACTTAAGTAATGCTTAGCTCTCCCAAGTCTAGAGTAGTATTTGTGAGAATTCGCTCTTTGTGCATCTATTACAGTAGTTCCATCTCTTTTATCCGTGTAGGACAAGCTGGGTTTGCTTCAACCCCCCATTTTCACCTACAATAGTACTAAGCTTCTCATGTCTCACTTTCACCAATAAACCATTATAATAGCGCCTTGTTAATTAACACCAGTTATGTCTGTTACTTTGTCTGTCACCAGCAGAATCGCTGAAAGTGTCTCAGCATCTTCCGGTTTTTTTGTCAATCCCTGTTCTGCCTGCATGTCGAATAATGTATTAGATTTTTTGCAAATATAATATCTGGAATTTTCAAAGTCGTAACTTATTCATGGAGCATTCTTTGTTCTTATTTGCCCTAGAACAAGCATCAAAGTATAGTAAATTGTGACTACTACTCAGCTCCAATGAGCATGATTTGTCTCTAGTGTTAATCCAATTCGTTCCTACTTTAGCAAGTGAACTACGCAAATACATGGATCCAAATTTTCTAGACGATCAAGCACTGGCCAATGCAGCCAAAATTAAGGTCATTCTGTCGCGTGAGTTATCCCTATCGTCTCTCACATGGTCACATTGGTTTCTTATAATTGGAGTTCTTTTTATACGTATGTGGTTCCATAATGGCGGCTGTTGACGTTGGCAGGAAACGTTTAGTGGAATCGATGGTCAAGGGGGGTGCATACATTCGAGGAGGTCGACCAGGAATCCTAGGATAACACTAGCACGTGTTGGTCCACAAGGCTAAGAATTTTAGTTTTACTACGCATTCTTGACCACCGAGGAACTTAAATGTAGCATAAAACAAGAATCAACCACAGATCGATGGGAAGTAAATGCCTATCAAAGATCTTGTGTTTTCAAATATCTGGCCCGTTGCTTGAAAACAGCAGGGATGCAGGAGTAGGCAGCATGACGTATTTCGAAGGCGAGGCTGTTTTGTGTAAGGATTGGCCAACGACGGCAGCTAACCAGCATAAGGCAATTACCTTTTGTAAACCAGTCAAAAATCCATAACCGATCGGGTTGAAATGCATAAGAAGCGATTTTGCACCACTCAGAAAGCGTCATTGCCTTGCATCAGCTTCAGCGATCTCGAATAGGTGAGTGCGTAATACTGCAGGCCAACCGCTTCTTTGCATCACGTGGTAACATTGGATGGAGTCACCTCAAGGGGCAGTCGAACCATGGGCAGTAAAATTGCAATAAAGCGAATGACCGTTAATTTGGTGCTCTATAATCGCTATTGAAAGGTTGTTGCAACGGTCTAAGTGCTTAGTTTGTGCTAATATCAAAGACCAGCTGTGGCAATAGCAAATAAGTGGTGAACTTATTGGTAGAAAATTCGTGTGTGAATATTTGTAAAAATTAACCTGCTCTGTCTCGCAGGGACTCAAAATAACCTTGCATAAATGTACGTTGCCACGAAAGTTCATTTTTCTGCATGTGTTTGGTATCTGTGGTTAAACACTATTCACTACTAATCTTGCTGTTGTGCATTGGCTGTACATAACCCTTTTGAACTTCTCTGTAGAGTTTAGACACTGGAAAGTGCCGATTTACTTATCATAATGGACAGTAAATAGAGCGTATGCATTCGAGATAGGGAATTGGTCGTCTTGCCACGATGACTAATGTTGCTTATCAGTTAAGAAAAGTATAGTCATGGCGATCACTGTTAACAGGTGTGAGCGAGCACGGATTCAACCGACCATCTTGTGTGCACCTCACGTTGCAATGTAACTCCAGGGAGCGATGCAAGCTTGCTCATATAAGCTGGCGCCTAGCACTCTATGGACACAAACCTAACAACCACGCTCTTACTGTAGTAGTAAATCGGTTGAACAGACCTTGTTCTCCCTCTTGGTCGAGTCTTGTCAATATAGATCGCCTGGCTCCGGTTTGGTGACTCCGGCGTCGTCTCACCGAGAACCATCCACGCTTTAGCTGCCCTTAGAGATATTATGCGCCCAATTACTCGGTCAGATTGTTTCGATCCGGTTTATCTAGTTAATTCGAATGTATTGGTGCCTTGCTACCTAAGCATGATATCCTTTACCAATCTAATTACCTATTGGTAATTTTGTAACAAGTGGAGATTGTTGTTGTCGTGGAAGAGGCCATCTTGTGAATTCAATGCTAACGATAATGCATAACCTCCTTTCTCTTAGCGCAAAGTACCACAGGCTTAGCGCTGTATCGCTGTTATTGGTACCTGCGATCTCAAAACCCTAAGATGGCGCGAGACGTCTTCGCAACTCCATGTTGTCACTCCCAATTGCCTTTATGTGTTCTTCGTCACTTCTACGAAACCATTGGCATTTTGATTGCATAAAAAATCAAGATAATTGGTACCATTCTCGAAAAGCAACTACATCACAAAATTGTGCGTCTTTTGGTAAAGTATCGTAGCTTTTGGGTTAATAACTGTTCAGTGATTGCAAAAGGTTCATTCAATAAAATTGGTAGCATCTAAGTGTGTGCTGGAGTGCAATGTCCATGTATGGTATCTTCTCTGTTAGATGAGGCCGAGATTCTTCGGACAGCCAAGGCGTTGGAAGACCTTCAGTCGTTAAAGAATGTCCTCAATCATCCCGCCTATTCGGGTTCGTTCATATTTTTGGTATATTCAACAATACTTTTAGCGAGCGCTCTTAAATTAACCTCGAACTTCAAACCCACAATCTATGTTGAATCAAGATTGCATCATTATTGACACAAAAGCGATAATTCTACTAATTTTTCTTTAGTTCATTTATTCCGTATTTTCCAACATATTTAAATTTACACCTGGATTCAAATGGCAGATTTTGTAATGACTACCTCGGTGCTCCTTTTTACTCTAATTCCTAGTCCAACTGAGGCGTACTTTGATAGAACAACCCCCTTCTTTATTGTGAAGTCTTTAAGATGAGTAAAATATTCATTATGCCGATGTAAGCTAATGTCTGGCCTTTTACGTGGCCTGAAAGCAAACTATGGTGGTTTTCTACTTGATTTCGTTTGGATGGGAACACGCTCCAGCATCCATGATATTCGACACAATGCACTTGTTTCCTGCTCATTGAGCCTACCAGCTGCCGTCATTTATTCCTCCACCTTTGTTGTTATTAAAAAACCATGTCTAACTCAGAGCGTTTTCGTTATCTCGTGAATTGTGACTTCGTCAATGTGAAACCATGGAGTTGATGAAGGATGTGGTTCCCGGCAGACACTTTTCTAATTTTTCTTAGGCAGATTCGCATTTTTTATAGCCCGAGTTCAGCTTTGCCATGATCTCCGAGTGATACAATTTTCGAGGCTTTCGTCGATTGACCTTACAAACCTTCATTTCAGATTTGTCAGGCCTGAAGGCCAAATTCTCCGCTCTGCAGCAAAAACACGCCGAACAAGAGAAGCAAACTGCTGATTTTATAGAGCAAAGCAATCAGGTCCTCGAGACATACGCAAACACGGTTAGTTCTCGACCTCGTTCATCTTTTACGCGTATTTCTCACAATAAAATGGTCCAATCAGTGCACTGTCTTGCACCAAGAAAACTGCCATGATTCTCCTTGCTCGATATTCCTTGCGAAATGGCTGATGCCGTTTGACCTCTTCATTTATGGGCTTTTTTCCGCATTTGATCAGGACGGGTAGGTTTTGTGGGATCTATCGTCTCATGATGATTATTTAATATGTCTGTCCTACAAAACAAGTGGCATGTATAAATTTTTTTTTCTTTTAAATCGTCTTGTCTTAATCGTAGGTACGTGATATGTCCAAGTTGCTTGTTGCCTGGCACAAGAAGGTGGCCGCGAAGTGACCAATGACCTGCTCCATCGCGTTGTCAAATCCCTTGTTTCAGCTCCAAGTCGTCATCACTTTTGCTTTAGACTTTGCTTGCCTCGGTGACGGAGTTCTTTATGCGTTATTATTTGTCAATAAATTGAGGAACTCACTTTCAATATAGGTTTTTGCATTTTCGGCACTCGTTACTTATTTAATTTAAGTACCGTGGTTTTGAATACCGTTCTAAACAAGTAGTGCTTGGAGTAATCTCTAGAACGGCCAGTTACAACTTAAAACGTTTGAATCGTCTCTTGTAACCTTATGACTTTTGCTCTCTGTAAAATGCCGAAACAAACCTCACACGAATAAGGTTCTGCACAGATTCGTTCACATCAAATACTCTCATAGAAAGTGCTCACCACAATTGCGCGCACTTTCTGGACGGCAGTCCAACTTTCGACTACACCCTAAGCCCTGCCTATTACACTAGTTAAAGCAGCGCACCGAATCTGAATCAATAAGGTGCTTGGGCAAGAGTGCCTACGAAAGGCGAATGGCAGTTGGTGCTTGGCTGCTCACCCAGTGGGCCTGGGGACCTGGTGTGAGCCCCGCCAATTCACATTGCTGTGGTTGTTAAGGGCACTGCTGAAATAGTCGTTCAGCTCCTCGTCCCGCTATGTTCCAATGTCCGCTTGCATTCGTACTAGTCGGCACCACGCGTCTAGAGCAGGCTGGCTTGTAGGACCGCAACTGGTGTTGTAGTCTATTCTCATGTCACTCATGCGGTGCTTCCCTTAAGTGTCTCAATCCAGCAGCGCCTGCCGCATCATTAATTCAGTAGGTAATGCAATGCTGATTTAACTCCTATCGTGTGTTGTCTTATCGGAAACATTGTTATTGCGTTCATTGATGGACAAGAGAGCAATAGCAGGCCTTAGGCTGGTTTGTTGTTCCTATTTGCTTGAAGGCTTGGATTTAGGTAATGTGCCGCGAAATCTAGCTGTTTGTGATCCCTGATTAATCTTTCACTACCCGTTTTAAGCGGAAGTATTTGTATTGGATTCGAGACTGGTGTTTTTCGCTGTAATTTAAACTAATCTTTATCTCTACCGTCCGTTCACACACTAAATAGAGGGAACTTTATAAATTGTATTTAAATACAAAGCATTTTTTCATTTATTGATGCTGATGAATCTGTCGAGCGTAATGACTGCTGCTCACAGTGCGACTGTGTGGGCCGGTGCCAAGTCGGACATTAAAATGCATCTTACGAAGACGTACTAGACCGAAGACAACCGCGTTTGTAACAATTTTTGTGTGTAAGCTTGTACCACGATTAGCACTACTGTTATTATCGATCATTTACAAAAAAACTGATGTTATTGACTAGAAAGTCAAAAGTGCAACTGATGAATGTCTCTATTCTATGTTCGATCTGGAGATGCCACCGAAAATTTCTCTGGATCTCATGAAAAAATTATTTGCCTTTTAATTCATACCACAAGGTGCCAATTAGTTCGAAGTCAATCTTGTTATGAGTACTTACTCTTGGGTTTTATGCTTAACTAGTTAAAATCGAGAAAGGCGTAGGATTATACCTTAGGAGTTGTTTAAGTTAAGCGAAGTGGTATTTGAATTACATATTGGTCCAATACTTCTAAACGTGCATATTAATTATTTTGACTGAGTCTGCTGTTTGGTGCGACAGCGCAAAAGTCACAGAAATCTTGCTCCCTTTATGGGTAAATAGCGCTAATTTGAAAACTGGTTCAATCTCAGACATAGTTTTGTTATGCAATTACAACTGCTAGTGCTTGCACAGGCGTCAGGTCAAGTGCATATGAACTCAGACATGTGTGCTAGTGCGCACTGGTGAATTTCACGATAAATTCTCGCCATTACTGTGCCGATGTTTACGTGCGTGCGATCCGCTGGAAATCACGCTAGGATTAAGTAAGGTAGTTGTTACATTATTCATACTTATATAGCATAAGTTGCAACACTACTTGCGGTAAAACGCGTACCTCCACCATTATAACTCAGGTCATCCCTGAAAATTTGATTTCGACGAATGCAAACAAATGGTTCATCATGATCTCCATTGGTTGTGTTCATCAGACATTGACAAATGGAACTGGAGCTAAATCAAGCCAAATAACAAGCCAAATAAGGTTATTATTTTTATAGATAAGCAAACCCACTACTTAGGAATAGGCTATCAGCTCGAAAATGAACTTACCGCTAAAGATTACCTGACATACTTACTAAATTGCATTGGTCCACACTTATAAAACCACGGTGATTTGCTGGCACTGTCAGTTCAAAGGTTTAAATTTTGCTGGCCACAAAACAGTAACTTTTTGAATGTTCCTCTAGTTGGAAAGTCGTTAATTACATTGCTCAAATTATCCGGAGCATTCAACACATAAATGAGAATGTTAAAGGCATGTTTTCTGTCAGCACGAAGGAATGCACGAATCCATTGGGAACAGTCGCGATCAGCAATTCAATCCAGCCTCGAATAATTTAGGGGATGAACAGTGAATGGCGCCAAGGAATAGCGAAGTTGAGCAAACAGTCCAAAAGACCCAACCAAAGAAATAGGACTACGGCGAATTTAAAAAACAGTTAAAATTTTCTAATAAAGTACTACGTTGGTCTGGCAGAAGCTCTGGCCTCTTGAAACCCACTATTTCTAGCATAAGCATGAACGCGAAGCCCCAAGTCATACGGAGAACAATCTCCTTTATTGTAGAACTCGGCAGACATGAACTGGAAATAGTTGGGTCGTCGAATTGTAGATTTGACGAATTGGAAAGTCTTTCCACAAAATAATGGTGCATTAGACCAATCGAGTCGTAGTCACACCACTTTCGTTGGAAGTCAGCTTTAGGAGTCGGTTTCATGGGAAGAC